TTTTTTTTTTTTTTTTTTTTTTTTTTTTTTTTTTTTTTTTTGACATTTTTATGTCATACCATACTGTGACATTTTTATATCATACTGTAGTGTGGCTTTTGATGACATTTTTATGGCTTACTATTCTAAGGCCTTTTTTTAAAAAAAAAAAAGAAACTATGGCATACTATGACATTTTTACCTTTTTATTCAAGTATGCTATGAACTTTTTTTTTTTAACTTTTTTTTGTGGTAAACTTATAACAACCTTTATGACATTTCATGGCACACTATTCTATGAGTTTTACTTTGACTTACTATGTCAGTCCTCTTCAATGCAGGTATATGTGACTCTAACTCAGTTAAGTAAGTTCATTATGTTTTTTAGATGTCTTTTTTTGGTGTTTCTTTTCTTTAGGCTTCAGACCCATCAGCTCAGTCCATCCTACAGCGAGCAGATCCACAACCGAGTCCAGAGGATTCTGCAGACACACAAAACCACCTTGGACCACCACCAAGTGACCTTTGACCTTTGACCTGATCTGCCCACAAGGTGACCAAACAACTGAGTTTCCAATACAAAGATTATTCAGTGTTAAACCAATCACTGTAGTAATGCATACTTTAAATTCAAACTCTGTAGGAGAGGATGCACACAGAGACATTAACACACCTTCTTAACTTCACAATTTTATCATTTAGAGAGTAAAAACATCTCACATGCATGTCTTCATTTCTCTCTATTTGACGTTCATTTAAATTTAAAACCTTTCTGAGCCGTATTTGTCGTTGTTACCCTTTGAAAAAGCAGGAAATTTGCAGGGGTTACATTCAAAAGCATAGCAGCACTACCTCCCTCCGACCCATCAACTGGACTGTTTTTGTTTTTTTTATTTTAAAAAAAAAGCCCCAATGATGTAACCAAACAGAGACATTGTTGCATTTCTCTAAAGCTGTGTGTGAAATTGGCTCGGGTATAAAGAAGCAACATTTTGTGTGTATGTATGGGAAGAAGACATGGTGGATGCAAGCTGCAGCTGTTAAGGGCTCATCTCTCACAACACAAAAGACAGACAAGAAGGTAGCCAAGAGCCACCGCTGGGAACCAGCAGCTACAATAGACTGAAGAGATATAAGAGAGAGGAGGAATAAAAGTAATCCTGGATGAAGAGCAGGAGACCCCAAAAAATCAGCCTCAACATAAATTACTACAGTTATTCAGATCCATAGTGTTCAAGTGAAAGAGTGTTTGTTTGTGCTTATCAGAGCTCATCTGCTCATGAACACTTCACCTGTGTGACAGTGTTTCATTCAATCAAAAGAGCTAAATAACATATTTTATAAAATGAAATACAGCTGTGTTATGTGCTCTCTTCATAGTTGTACCTGCAAATTAATTTATTTCTGAATGAAACCAAATATAGAACATGTATTTATTCTGCAGGAGGGATTTAGTAATATAGTGAATAATGATAGTCTCGGACTTTCGGCGATGCTGTGGGTACGCTTTAACTAATGTACAACCGGGATTAAAAAGCTAAATTCCAATCATGTTCCTGTCTCTGACTCATATTGGCCAAGAGTTCAAGAAGCTACAATGCAAAACTGTACTTCTCTTTACATGTCAGTTTTCATAGCCTGCATCTGCTTCTTTGTCTTTAATACCAGTAACTACATCTGAAAACATGACATAATTGAACTTCCACTGGCCCACTTTGTTGGAAATATCATGTCATTTTTTCAACATAGTATGCTATGACCTTATTTGACATACTGTACCATGACTTTTTTTTATGACATACTGTACTATGTCCTTTTTTATAACATACCATACTATGACCTTTTTTGACATACTATACCATGACCTTTTTCTCAACATAAAATACTATGACTTTGACATACTATGATTTTTTTCGTCATGCTTTTCTATAACTTTTTTTGACATACTATATTGTAACTTTTTTCATCATACAATACTATGACCTTTTTCATCATACTATACCATGACTTTTTTTCAACATAGTATGTTGACTTACACTATGACATTTTTTCATGGTTTTGGACGACATGCTATACTATGACGTTTTTTCATGATTTTTGACAACATGCTATACTATGACGTTTTTTTCATGATTTTGGATGACATACTATACTATGACATTATTTTCATGATTTTGGACGACATGCTATACTATGGCTTTTTTTTCAGGATTTTGGACGACATGCTGTACTATGACGTTTTTTCATGATTTTGGACGACATGCTATACTATGATATTTTTTCATAATTTTGGACGACATGCTACAAAAATGCTATAATGTTTTTTTTATTATTTTGGACGACTATGACGTTTTTTTCTTCATGATTGTTGATAATGAGCTTTTTTTCAGGATTTTGGACGACATGCTATACTAAGACTTTTTTTCATGATTTTGGATGACATGCTATACTATGATGTTTTTTCATAATTTTGGACGACATGCTACAAAAATGCTATAATATGTTTTTTTTATTATTTTGGACGACTATGACATTTTTCATGATTGTTGATGACGAGCTTTTTTTCATGATTTTGGACGACATGCTATACTATGACGTTTTTTCATTATTTTGGATGACATCCTATACTAAGACTTTTTACATGATTTTGGACGACATGCTATACTATGACATTTTTTCATGATTTTTGACGACATACTATACTATGACATTATTTTCATGATTTTGGACGACATGCTATACTATGGCTTTTTTTCAGGATTTTGGACGACATGCTGTACTGTGATGTTTTTTCATGATTTTGGACGACATGCTACAAAAATGCTATAATATGTTTTTTTTATTATTTTGGACGACATGCTATACTATGACGTTTTTTTCTTGATTTTGGACGACATACTATACTATGACTTTTTTTCATGATTTTGGACGACATGCTATACTATGACGTTTTTTCATGATTTTGGATGACATGCTATACTATGATGTTTTTTCATGATTTTGGATGACATGCTATACTAAGACTTTTTTCATGATTTTGGACGACATGCTATACTATGACATTATTTTCATGATTTTGGACGACATGCTATATTATGGCTTTTTTTCATGATTTTGGATGACATGCTATACTATGACGTTTTTTCATGATTTTGGACGACATGCTGTACTATGACTTTTTTTCATGATTTTGGACGACATGCTACAAAAATGCTATAATATGTTTTTTTTATTATTTTGGACGACATGCTATACTATGACGTTTTTTTCTTGATTTTGGACGACATACTATACTATGACTTTTTTTCATGATTTTGGACGACATGCTATACTATGACGTTTTTTCATGATTTTGGATGACATGCTATACTATGACGTTTTTTCATGATTTTGGATGACATGCTATACTATGACGTTTTTTCATGATTTTGGACGACATGCTATACTATGACGTTTTTTCATGATTTTGGACGACATGCTATACTATGACGTTTTTTCATGATTTTGGACGACATGCTATACTATGACGTTTTTTCATGATTTTGGACGACATGCTATACTATGACGTTTTTTCATGATTTTGGACGACATGCTATACTATGACGTTTTTTCATGATTTTGGACGACATGCTATACTATGACGTTTTTTCATGATTTTGGACGACATGCTATACTATGACGTTTTTTCATGATTTTGGACGACATGCTATACTATGACGTTTTTTCATGATTTTGGACGACATGCTATACTATGACGTTTTTTCATGATTTTGGACGACATGCTATACTATGACGTTTTTTCATGATTTTGGACGACATGCTATACTATGACGTTTTTTCATGATTTTGGACGACATGCTATACTATGACGTTTTTTCATGATTTTGGACGACATGCTATACTATGACGTTTTTTCATGATTTTGGACGACATGCTATACTATGACGTTTTTTCATGATTTTGGACGACATGCTATACTATGACGTTTTTTCATGATTTTGGACGACATGCTATACTATGACGTTTTTTCATGATTTTGGACGACATGCTATACTATGACGTTTTTTCATGATTTTGGACGACATGCTATACTATGACGTTTTTTCATGATTTTGGACGACATGCTATACTATGACGTTTTTTCATGATTTTGGACGACATGCTATACTATGACGTTTTTTCATGATTTTGGACGACATGCTATACTATGACGTTTTTTCATGATTTTGGACAACATGCTATAGTATGACGTTTTTTCATGATTTTGGACGACATGCTATACTATAATGTTTTTTCATGATTTTGGACGACATGCTATACTATGACTTTTTTTCATGATTTTGGACGACATGCTATACTATGACTTTTTTTCATGATTTCGGACGACATGCTATACTATGACTTTTTTTCATGATTTTGGACGACATGCTATACTATGATGTTTTTTCATGATTTTGGATGACATGCTGTACTATGACGTTTTTTCATGATTTTTGACGACATCCTATACTATGACTTTTTTCATGATTTTGGACAACATGCTATACTATGGCTTTTTTTTCATGATTTTGGACGACATGCTACACTATGACTTTTTTTCATGATTTTGGACAACATGCTATACTAGGAATTTTTGGACATACTATACAATGACCGTTATGTAGACATATTTTGACGTTTTTTAAACACTTCACTGTGCCTCATTTTCGACATACTATACTGAGTTTTTCTTCGACATATGTCGACCTTTTGTTTAACATACTATACTATGACTTTGACATACTATGGCGTTTTTTCAACATACTTTACCATGTATCTTTTTTTTTACACATACTATACTACAGTATGACCGTTTTTTGTTTTTTTTGACACTGCCTTTTTCTCGACATACTATACTATGACTGTTTTTTGGCAAACTATACTATGACTGTTTTTTTTGGCATACTGTACTATTGACTTTTTATGCATTTTTTTACATCAAGGTAGCACAAATGCAATTTGAATATTCATATACATACCATGTTTAAAAATATATTCCATTTTAAATATCAGTATTACAATGTAAATTACATAAAGTGAGTGTGCCCTGAAATGTTCATATTAGCAGCAGTGATACATTTCCAGATATTCATGTTTAATGTGCTGCTTATACTTCAGCCAAAGTCCGTGAGTTTCCTAAATACATTTAGTGTTTTTCTTTTATTCCCTCGATTTTGTGATCATAGTTTTAGATCATCTTCCATTGTTTTCAGAATTACTAAAACAGCAACATAAATACAGTGTGTAGGTTTTAAGGGCATCTCTTGCCAGAAATGGAGTGTTCATGGCATGATTTCATTAGTCAAAAAATCTCCTGAAACTAAGAATTGTCACTATCCCATCATAGTGACATGGGGAGCAGGCTCTCTTCTACAGTAGCCTAGAATGGACAAACCAAACACTCACTTTTTGTATTTTTAATTTAATTTTATATACTTTATTAATCCCCGTGAGGGGAAATTCAATTTCTTTCACTCTTTTTGTCATTAACACACAGGTCCGAAAGACACACACATGCACATAGTGGAGAGATGTCAGAGTGAGGGGGCTGCCTTGGTCAGGCGCCCCAAGTGGTTGGGGGGTTTGGTGCCTTGCTCAAGGGCACCTCGGCAGTGCCCAGGAGGTGAACTGGCACCTCTCCAGCCACCAGTCCACGCTCCATATTTGGTCCGGATGGGGACTCGAACAGGCGACCCTCCGGTTCCCAACTCAAGCCCCTATGGACTGAGCTATATTGCCTGGAGGCCACCGTAGGTTTTCCTACATGCTTAGAAACGGAGAGTTAAGTGGAGGGGTATTCAGTTGGTTACAAGCTGCAATATAAGCACTAGATGCCACTAAATCCTACACACTGCTTCTTTTAAAAAATGTGAACTGAATGTATTAGAAATGTTGCCCCTCAGCATGACTCTATACATCATTCTATAGAAAGGATCACCTCATTTGTCTGTCTTAATCATAAGATGACATGGTAATATTTCATCCAACAAGAAATGTTACAAGCCATACTTTAAGGATGTGATGAGTTTAATTTACAAGATGCTTTACAAACATCGGTGCCAGTCAAAAGTACTGTTACATTAATCTGATTCATGTATATTTAAAAAGACTGATTACTGTGCAGCAAAATCTTTGGAAGGTTAAAAAGACACTTCTTGTCAGTGTGAGCAGGTACACGTCCCTGGTAATTGTACAAAGCATGACTATTTTTGATATGATTCAAGAATCCAAGTCCAGCAGTCTATAATATCAGTATCTATGAAAAGCCACTCAGTCAGTGCTCATCACATGAAGTCTTCAGATTTACTTCTTATGGAATTTATTCTTTTTCTTGTTCCTCTTGCCAGCTCCTTGTGCTGCCTTCTCTGCCACTATGTGCTGGAACTTCTTTTTGTTTTTCCTGTAAGAGAAGAGGAAAGTACATTTTATGTCTTCAGTGATGAAATACATCTACACACACCTGATAATATACTGTGTAGCAAACTATTACTGCACGATGTGCCCACACCCTGTATTTATATCCACAGTGTTTTTTTTATCATTTGTTTTGTTCCTTTTCTCATACAGCATTATGCAGGTTTACCATAAGTGCTGTGGCTTTAAAATGTATTCTGTCACCCATCAGATGATAAAGGTCAAGTTTATCATGGTTACATACTGTATTTTGATAGCCATTATAAATACTGTGATACAACAGGTTTGAAATGTGGTACCTAGTATAGATTTGACTGTACATCACCTCAGCTGTCAATATTCAGTCAAACCATCAGTCAGTTTTATTGTTCAATCACTGTGAGATAATAAAGACAAATCCAGTCAAAGTGTTAGTCTGTGTTTTCATTTCCACTTACTGTCTGAACTCAGCATCAGACAGCAGCTCCTCCACCATGGTTCTCTTCCTCTCCTTCTTGGGAATACGGGAATGATAGAAGTCAACTGCGCTGTCCACCACTGTGCCAACCTGTGAACACGTACAAAAAAAACAATTCCCCATGACATACTATGCTATTAAGTTTATTTCGACACGCTATACTATGACTTTTTTTACTACTACGATATTTTTTGACATACTATACTATGACCTTTTTCGACATATACTAGGACCGTTTTTCATCATACTATACTGACTTTTTTTGACAAACTATACTATGACCTTTTTTGACATACTATGCCCTTTTTAACATACTATACTATGACTTTTTCTCAACATACTATACGATGACTTTTTTTTCATCATGCTATACTATGACCTTTTTTTTTTTTTTTTTTAACATACTATACTAATGACTTTTTTCGACATATACTATGACTGTTTTTTCGGCATGCTATACTTATTTTTTTGACATAAGATACTATAACTTTTTTTCCGGCATACTATACTATGACTTTTTTTCGTTATACTATACTATGAACATTTTTTCGACATACTATTCTATGACCTTTTTCCGGCATACTATACTATGACTTTTTTTCAACATACTATACTACAACTTTTTTTCATTATACTATACTATGTCCTTTTTCCGGCATACTATGCTATGACCTTTTTTCAACATACTATACAATGACTTTTTTTCAACATACTATACTACAACTTTTTTTCATTATACTATACTATGTCCTTTTTCCGGCATACTATACAATGACTTTTTTTCAACATACTATACAACAACTTTTTTTCATTATACTATACTATGACCTTTTTCCGGCATACTATGTTATGACCTTTTTTCGACATACTATACAATGACTTTTTTTCAACATACTATGCTATGACCTTTTTTCAACATACTATACAATGACTTTTTTTGTGGCATACTATACTATGAGCGTTTTTTCGACATTCTATACTATGACTTTTTTCGACATACTACACTACACTTAGACATACTATTTTAGACATGCTAATGAAATCATGCCATGAACACTCCATTTCCATACTTCCTTACTGAAGAGGATTTTTGAGGAACAGCTGACTCGTTTATTTACTAACCTGAAAATATTTGGGAAAGCCATCTCTGTCGTTCTTCTTGTAGAACCTCTTGGGATCCATGGAACCTCTCATCTTTAGGACTTGGAGATCTCCTTTCAGCTCCTGAGTGATCTCGGGGGCTTTCATATTGAACCAACCATCTCCTGTTGATTTTGCCCTCTCCGCCTGGGAAAAACAGTGATTTCAATTATTTAAAAAGTGTTGTAAAAGCTTTTGGAGCACAGACTAGAAATAAAAATGTATGTATTTATGATGACTACATGTTTAAGTTTTTGTGATTTAAGGGAAGTCTGTGTCCTTATAACTGACTCCACAAATAATATGTGATCCATGTGATAAAACTTTAGAAGACAGTAGCACAGTGAGTCTATAAACCAAAGCATAACTTTGTAAAACTTACTCTGTGTTTTAACTTTAAGGCTTGTTTGGATTCACTGTACGGAGGCACAGCATCCTTCTTTTCAAAGTCTGGTCCCATCACACTCTTCTTCATCACCTGTGGAAAACAACAAAAACTGCAACACTGCAAAGTACCAAACTCCATCAACGCCCCACTACTCAGAGATAAAAGGCCAAAGTCACAAAGGACTGGAAAGAGACCATGAATAACACCATCTCAGGTGTTATTGGATTTACTCGTCCTTGCATAACTATAAAGTTCATTATTCATTCTGCATCACAGATCACCTTCAAAAGGGAAAAAAATCAATCACTTATTTACCTCATCTTGGATCCTCTTTTCCTTTAGTTTTTGCAGTGAACTGGAGACAGGTTTTGATTTGCTGCCATCAAAATTGATGTATAAACCCCCGAGCTCCTTCACTCTGATGCCAGGGTCAATACGGCTGGACAACTCTTTCCTGAAACAAATTGGCAAAGAGAAAATTCTTCAGGAAGAACTGTCCTGTCTCATTTCTCATCTCTGCACACAGTTATAATGATAATATATAGCAATAATGAGGGTGGCTGAACTGTCTTTATGTGCAGAGTTCTGAAAGTCTGGAAATATTGTATTTTTTTCCTAATCCAAAATCCCAAGAAAAGACCAAAACCAAGGTCAAGAAGAGTATTAAGGGACAGACTAACACATTGCTGGTTTTGGTCTTCATGTGGAATTTGTTGAGGATAAGAAAAAAATAGAATAACACCAGCCCTTTAGGATCCATCTTTCTGTAGAACCAGCTATATTAATTTACAGACTTTGACTTATTTCTGCACACAGTGAGTCTCTCCACTGGTTGATTTGAGTTTAAAAAATTGAACTACATATTTGTAAGTTACTGGTCACGATTTGTGTCTTCAGAAAGAGCAAAAGGGTTGAGTGCCACAGACACCAACAGAAAGTGTTGTGAAACAAACATTAGGATTAAGCTTTTAAAGGAATAGTTTGAAAATTGGGATATATGCCTAATGTCTTTCCTACAAAGAGTTAAGACGAGAAGACCAATGCCAATCTTTGTCATATCCAAAAATCTGAAGCTTAGCAAAACATAAAGACTGGAACTAGGGGAACAACAGCTAGCCAAAAATGAAACTTCACCTGCATCTCTAAAACTTAACAATTAACACACTGCATCTCTTTTGTTTAATTGGCACAAACACTAAAGTTTTTATTTTGTGATGTTGTGAGACAATCAATTACTTTGCACTGCAACTGGATTCTCGAGATATCAATCTCGCGAGATTCCAACTTGCCAGACTTCAAGTAATGAGTCAGTGGTTTGGACCAATCAGCATCCTGTGAGGAGCTACCGGCAGCTATGGGCGTGGTTTAGATATGTGTGACAACACAGAGAGGCAACTGTTGGTACAAAACGAAGAGGTTAGCATAGATGCCACAGTAGCAGGGCTCGATAGTGCGAGCGTTTCACTCGCATTTGCGACTAAAAATAGGTGTATGCAAACTGTAAAAAATATTTAGGGGCACATGTGCGCATAAAAAAAATCAGCCGAAGCAGCCTATATTTTTGTTAATAAAAAAATATGATAATCTAACCGCAAATGTTGGAGGAACTCCAGCCGCCTTCCCTCTTCCCCGTGTGACACGGTTATGGGCGGTTTTCCAAGCCACTGTCGGCACAATGAATATAAGTCCCACTGTCGGCAGTGTGGAAATAAGTCAAAGTGTGGAGGAAGTGGCGGACCTACGGGGAAGCCTGCTCCGTTCTCCCCGCAGTTAGGGACCGTTCTCCACAGCCAGGCTGTCGGCTGGGTGGAAATAATAATAATAAATAAGTGTAGCGGAGACGAGGGACCGGGAAAAGCGGCGGACCTCCGGTGAAGCCTGCTCCCTTCTCCCCGCAGTTAGGGACCGTTCTCCACAGCCAGGCTGTCGGCTGGGTGGAAATAATAATAATAAATAAGTGTAGCGGAGACGAGGGACCGGGAAAAGCGGCGGACCTCCGGTGAAGCCTGCTCCCTTCTCCCCGCAGTTAGGGACCGTTCGCCACGGTACCGCTGCTGGGCAGGGTTGAAATAAAGCCCTTTTCACACAGAGCGCGCAAAGCGCAGACCTCCGCCGATGAACCCATCCATTGTGTATGTGCTACCGCGG